GTCGCCGCCGAGGATTTCACGGGAAAGGAAGCAAAAGAACGTACCCTCCTTCGCGGGCAAGGTGCGAGGGGGCGGGGAAGGGAGCGCGACGTTGTGCGAGGGGGGGCAGAAAAGGTGCGCGCAGAAAGAACACCGAGGCAGGTATAGGAAGGCGAGCAGGAAACTGCGGGGGGACAACGAGGAACGTCGCCCGCGGCTAGCAACCGAAAAGGCAAAACTCTCGGCGAGCACGAACTGGTTTTCGGGGATATCGCGGTTACATGTCGTCGTCGGCGAAAACAACGACGGAGACGAAGAAGACGTCGACGATGTGGCAGATAATTCGGCGCGGGAGGTAAAAAGAAATATTTTTCCCAAAAATGTTTTCCTCTGGAAAAGAGAATTCCTCTGTGAAGAACGGCATTTTGACAAAAATTTCAATTGTACGCTCAGGAACGAAATCCACAATAAAGGGACGAGTTTCTTTAGCCCTCGGCAGGATACCAGGGATCTTTCATGTGTCACAAGCATAGACCGCACATTGGAGTACATATTATTATGGAAAATATAGAAAACGTGTGTAAAACCCTAAACAATGAGTATAAAAATATGTGCAAAGAGAACAATTTTTCCTTGTACGTGCTTTAATCTTAGTAACCCTCTTTAGCTTAGGTCTCGTAGAATAAAATACCTATCTGCCGAGGTAAGATAAAATGAACAGCTCGACAGGTAGAGCAACTGAAAGAGAAAAGTGGAAGAATTTGAGAAAACGTTAACTGTAAATCGAAGAAGGTACTCGAAAAAAAAAATATCAATTATCTTTAAAAAAAAAAAGAGATATTTAATTATAGAGTCATAAGAATATGCAATGTTATAACAATAAGCTCGCCTAAGGCGAATTGGAAGGCTCGATAAATGGATAGATACGTAGCTGATGCATCTAATAAGCAGTTCTGTGCAGGAAGGTGGTAAGCACGTGATAAAGGGCTAGGCATTAATCGAAAAAAAATTTATATTGTGAAGTTATGAAGTTACGAGCTCGCTCAAGGCGAAATGAAGATCTCGACGGATAGAGAGCCGGATAAATCGACAGGCAAGTGATACAGAGGGTGAAAACTAGTACACTTCAATAAGTATTAGCTCATCGGTAGTACTATCAATTTAAATGTATATACATATGTATATATAGTATATTAAATGTAAATGTAATGTCACATTATTAAATTGATAATCAATAAGTATTATATATCGCCCCTTTACTTAAAAAAATATGATCTTCGAATTATCATGAATGAGAGTTAAGTAAATATTACTCTATCAATCATTAAAACTTATAAAGTCTAACTTAGCTTCATAGAAAAATCATTAAATAATAACATTTAAAATAATAATAGTCAAAATTATCACAAAAAGGTGGTTTTTTTAAGGGCTATAAAACGAAATTATAATAAAAAAGATATTTGATTATATTAAGAATATATATTCTTTTTGCCGATATTATTTGATTAGTCAATAATTTTCTGTTAAGTTGAAAAATAGTTTTTCCCTTTTCTAAAAAATTTAATTATTTGAATTGTTCATTACAATCATTCATTACTTTTAAAGTAAGGGAGTAATGTCATTCATTTGCTACAAAATGACACAACTCAAAGTTTTCTAAAAAATAAGTTTGAATATTTTGATTGTTTTGAATCATTGAAATTTTGTAATATTAACTTTAAAATGCAATTTTGGTGTAATAAGTTGTTGATTGCAGAGGGAAAAAGGTATATTCTTTTTTTTCTGTACATGTTTCCGAACTTATAGTCTACTTCTGTAAACAAAAATGATAATTTTTGAGTTATGTCATTGTTGCAGCAAATGATTACAAACTGATCACCAATTTAATCATTATATTTCCAACATAAATTGAATTTCAAAACTGAATAAATAATCGGAGAATTTAGAAGCAAAAAAGGCAGGATGATAAAATTTACATAAATTATCGTCAGACATAAAATCCTAATAACAGAAAATGTTAATATCCGTTCCATCTAACTTCATTAAACATGATGAGGACACGCTTAATGAATCAGTTAGTCAAGTGAACTGTGTAAGAGATTTCCGTGATTCCAGATAATCTCGAGATAATCGCGCGACGTTCACGTGAACATCTCGAAGATAACGATAAGGTGCCGTTTAATAAATACAAATAACAGATGACATAATACCGTGGTGTAGACCCACGGATCTGCGACGGCCGAAGCTGTCGGAGTGAACCTCGATTTGACGTCTAATGGCAAGCTAATAGGAAGTCATTCCGATTGATGAGGGATAAGAGGAAAAGTCTGGAGATCCGATAAGTTTAATTTGGCGTATAGAGAAACGCACGCGAGCACCATATGGAACTTCAAGGATCAGCTATAAATGAATCACGTTTCTCCACTGAATGTTTAAAGAGTCGCATTTATTCTGTAGATGAGATAAGAGTGACGCATCCCCGACAATGTGAGAGAATATTGGAAGTCCTATGTGAAAAAAAAATGATATTTGACATGTTAAGAATATATTCTATTTGCTAATATTATTATTCAATAATTTTCTGTCAAATTAAAAAATAAATTTTTCCTTTTTCTAAAGAGAAAATTCATAGTTTTGCAGAAACATTTAAAAGTTTTGGTAAATAGAGATCTAAAAATTATTTTATTGGATCATCAAAATATTTTAGAATTGGCTGCGTTCAGCAGAAAAAGTAACTTTGCAACTGCTGTACAATTTTTCATTAAGATTTATTTATCCTTTACTCTTCACTGGATCTAAATATATGTATATATCCAGTTATAATTAAGAATTTTACATTGAAAATAAAATCCAGTTACATTAATTAGAATTCTGGTAAAAAATGAATAAATCAGAATTTTCTGGTTGAAAGAATCTTCTAATTCGTTCATTTCTTACCAGAAATTTTTACAAAAGTTGTAAAGCTGCTTTTTCTGATCGCAATCATACTGCAAGATGCTCAAGATGGTCGTTAAAATGTCAAATTTTTTTGTAATATTGCTTATCATGCTTGAATGTCCTACATAATTATTTTAATAGCTCAACAAAATCATTTTCAAATCTATCTATAAATTTGCAGGTACTCCAACAAAATCGTTCTTTCCATGTGAATATCTTTATCAACTAGGGAATATCTTAGCGTTCTAAACCACAAATATGTATACGCTTTTCAGCTCATAGGATAGATAAAATGAGATTCCCTGGATTATCGAAAGTAAATAAGAATCTAGTTTTTGAGCATATTATAGTGGACATATCTCGAGGTCGATAAGACGCGTCGACGTGGAAATCTGTCACAAACGTTGGACGTGTAATTTCTCTTAAGGGGAAAAAAGAAACTACAAAATCATCGAGGCGCATGTCGTTCGAGTCTAATCAAATCTCCATTCGAGTCTAATCGAATCTAATCAGTCTCAATTCGCGCCATTCGTTCGAAAATCGAGTCCATTCAAGTCCTGGTATACACTGAGAAAAATGATTTGGTTGAAAATGGACAAGAAAATTTTAGTAAATTTAACTAGAAAATTTTCAGGCTAAGGGCGACTGTTACCAACGCCGATTAACTTAACCGACGATTAACTTAATCAGCTGAACTACTATTATAGATAGAAGATTTTCATTACTTTTATCACAATTAAGTACAGGAACGCAGAGATAGAAGTATATCACGAAGAGATAAGGTTAAAAACGATATACAATCTTGTTGTTGACTACATTGCTGAGTTGAGACTACATTGAGTTAATCGTCGATTAAGTTAATCGGCGTTGGTAACAGTCGCCCTAAATCTACTAAAATTCGAATTGAGATAAACAAAATTCTGATTGATTTAATCAAAATCTTTTTTTTGTCCATTTTCCACCAAACCATTTTTCTCAGTATATACATCTTGAATTTTCACTTTCTAGTTAATTTGTGCATAGACTTAACCTCTCTTAACTTATAATATAAAAATTGTGTTTTTCTAACTACAATTAATCACTGGACTGATGATTTTGTAATGTGTGACTTTAAAAGTTACTCACTATAAAAATTTCAGCTTAAAAGAGTGACGTCAGTTTAGTGATTAACCGTGGCTGCGTTCAACAGAAAAGGCAGCTCTGTAACTGTTGTAAGATTCTTTTGTACAATTGATTCTTAGTTTCTCACTAGATTTAAACGTATAAACCAATCATTCCAAAAAATCTTACAACAGTTGTAAAGTTGCTTTTTCTGCTAAACGCAACCAACATATTTTTAGAAAAATATAATTTTTACATTATCGTCATATTAAGCCTAACCACAAGTTAAGCAGAAAATAAAGAACCGAGCCTCGGCTGGAAAGGAGCGGAGAGAGGAAAAAACACGCGTGCGAGCAAACAACGGCATTGTTTACGCGCGGACGAGCGTCAGGAGGGAATTTTGCGAGAGGATGAATGGGACGGGTGGCCATCGGCGTGAACGGATCTGGCCTTTCGGGTCGTGTCGGGAAGCAAGTATGCGACTAACGTCGGAGAAAACGTCGACTACCTGAGACCAGATGCCACAGTATTACAGTCCGCATACGAGAGTTACGGAACACGCGCGACTGCCGTCCGGGAGATTGACCGTTGCTCGCTACGTGAATTTACATTTCTCACCGCGACGAGGACGTGTTTCGCCGTAAACACGGGGAACGGCAGTTGGACGAATGGGACGGATGTGCCAATCCACGTCGAATACGCGCCGCGGACGCTGAAGATCGTTGAGAAGAACCGCACGCGAGGAAAACGGCAGACTCATTTTCGAAACGGTCCCGAAGAATCTCGCAAGGTGGAAGCGAATCGCAGCGAGACCTGCGAGACGGACGGAGCGCCCGCGGCGCGGTGCGGTGCAGGAGGAGCGACAAGGACGAACGTACGCGACGGTCGCGACAGCGAAAGGGAGAGAAGGAGAGACGGGACAGAGAACCGAGAAAGAGGAGAATAGAAAGAAAAAGAAAAGAGGGTGGGAATGCGATACTCACCCAGAGCTCCGTGCCCCAGCTCATGTTTGCTGGGCCGGGTAAACCAGCGGGCGCGACGGCGATTAATTATCCTTCGCGACACTTCACATGTAACGACGACGTGCGTGTCGCTCGTTTCGCTTCACTGTCGTCGCGCACCTCGCGGGCCACCGTGTCACACTCGCGCGCACCGCGCCACCGCGCTCGACGACCGAGGGTGCGGGAGAAAGAGACAGGAAGAGGAAAAAAAAGAGATCCGAGAAACGCACGTCAAAGATCACCCGCCACGCGCACGGTCACACGAAACATGTCCAACATGTCGCTCTCATAACCACTGACTGCTCCGTCCATTTACCTTTCCGTCGCTACCGCGGCGCCGCCGGGACTGACCGTCGCGGAAAACCGCCCGTAATTCCGACGTGGCGCACTCTAGCGGCGGCGCACCGAGCGACGCGCCGCGCCGCTCCGGTGACTGCGCATACGTCGAACGAGACGACGGCGCGAGATTTGAATCGCAAGCGGAACGTTTCCAATTCGACAGCGACGCGATGTGTGCAGGCACGAATGACGCGGTATTGCGATTAATAAAGGCGTCATTAACGACGACCGTTATCCGCGCACGATAAGTCACGCATTCTGCGTTTTTGCACGTTCTCCGATTGTTTTAAGCACGCAAGTTGCTAATTAACTTGGACCTATTTGAGCTAATTATCGAAGCACAATTACATGCGAACATCGAATTCACATATCTTAATTCTTGCAATATCGATCCTGCCAGTTCTGTCAAAGTAAAAAAAGCAAACATTTTTTTTTTAATAGGAAACGTGGAATTAAATAATAAATTTATAATAAAGTAATAATACACATATGTGGATAAGGACTCGTAATTGTTGGAAAATTAAATGAATAAAAGATTGAAATTGTAGGCATATAGTTAGTTACGATCGTTTATGCAATCGATTTGCGTCAACTTGTGACGTTTACTTACGTCGAGGTGCATTCGTTATATCTGGTATGTATATAAATTATTTTAAACCATCGATCTCATAGCCGCGCGAACAAAATGGCGCTGGATGACTCGAGCGAAGTATCAAAGGTCGTTTACTCGCGAGATAAATAATTAATTTTTTGTCCCCACGGACTCGATTAGCTCGTTTACGTTTTCGCGTAGTTTCGTGTTCGTCAACGTATATGCTCCTGGTCGAGACACATCTTGTTTTTGGGCGGATTTTTCGTCGGAGGAGACATGAGTACCCACTATGGAGGTTGTGTATATTTACTGCCTTGAATTATTCTCCATTCACTATTTTTTTCTTGATCGATACGATTTTCGAGATGGCATGCATGCGTAGTCGTGTATATTGTATATGTTAACTAATCTCTGAGGTCATTGACATTCGCACCGAATTTTCACGAATGACAGATACCTGAATCAAGTGTTATTTTAGTTTATAAACTTTGAGGAGATTTAGAATATTTTTTTTGTATAAGAGAGAGAAGGAAATAGTTATATTATTGCATCACTTATATAAATTATATATATTGTATAAATTTTTAAGTAACGATATATCGGTAATGGTAATTTTTTCATGAATAAACAGAAAATTAATAAAAAATGTTATCCTTCAAAAATATTATCTTTCTGATCCATTTCATGAACAAAATATTTTTTATTTTTAAAGATAGATTAAAATCTACACAATATATTTAGTTTTATAAAAGTCAGAATTCTTATTTTAAGAAGAATCTAAGTGGTAAGATAAGAAATTGACAATGATTTTAGATGATACTTTCTATTTATTCAAGAAATGATTATAATATGTGGAAAAAATATGTCTTTATTCTTACTTAAGAAAATAATTATCATATGTATATTTGAGATATACTAATACTAGAATGTGTTACATGCAGGTGATAGAATTATTTAATAAGTTCAACGAGAGCTTGGGGTCATACATATTTTCAAGATGGATTGGGAGATTCATAGAGGAATATCAAACATCGAGGACGCTCTTTGTTATTGCCACGATTTTACTCCTTATTTTCTTAATTGCATCGATTTTTGTGGTACGCAAATGGAAGAACAAAGAATTTTTACCAGAGGTGAAGGAGTTTGTTGGAGTGGGCACTGGAAAGCCAAGGTTCAGGAAGAGAGACAAGGTTCTCTTTTATGGCAGAAAGATGTTGCGCAAAGTAAAGTCCATTGGTGGCCAAGTGCACGCTACTGGACAAGGGAAGAAGAGAAGAGCAGTCATGAGATTTGCTCGTCGATTATTGCAACTTAAAAAGGATACTGTCCCACAACAGCTCAAAGTATATATCGCAATAATTAACTAATAATTATTGATTTCATCTGATATGTATCTAAGCTCAGATTATTTAATTTCAAGGTGTTAGAACCACCAGCTGAATATTTGGAAGAAGATTTAGGTCCTGGTGAGAGAGTACCACCAGACGCACTGTATATGTTACAAAGTATTAGAGTCTTTGGCCACTTTGAAAAACCTGTTTTCTTGAAGTTATGCAAGTACACAGAGATTATGAATTTACCTGCTGGCAACACATTATTCAAGATCGGGGACCCCGATGAGAATTTATTTATAGTACAGCAGGGTTTAGTTAATGTATATATCACTGGACCTGACGGCTCTCAAATACCATTGAAAGTGGTAAAAACGGGCGAATCAGTTACCAGTCTTCTTAGCTTTACAGATGTACTTACCGGTCATACAAGTACATATAAAACCGTATCAGCAAGAGCTGTAGAAGATTCTGTTGTAGTAAAGTTACCAATGAACGCGTTCCAAGAAGTAAGTAATGCGTTTGCAGCTTATCTTATTTTTCTTTCAATATTTCTTCTATGTATATTATAGAAGATATAAAGTAAAAAAAATTGAGATGTATTTTATACACGATACTGATATTACTTCAGGTATTTCAAGATTATCCTGATGCCTTTGTTCGAGTTATCCAGGTCATTATGGTACGCTTGCAAAGAGTTACCTTTACCGCTTTACATCAATATCTCGGTCTTTCCGCAGAATTAGTCAATCAGGGATCACATAAGAAGAAGCAGAGTCCATTCTCTGGTTCACCGGTACGATCAAGAACCAGAGAGAACTTTGCCTCACAAAACATGGAGAATGTACCTATATTTCCAGTCAGTACATCAGAAATGTATGATACCAGTGATATTTCTCATCGTGATTCAAGCACTTCTCAACCTGTGCCAATAACCATGAATCGACGGTAAGAAATTTTTTAATCAAAATGTTATAAATTAACAATATTAATATATTAATTTATACTGTTTATAATATTAAATATCTCTCTTTAATTCAATATATCAAATAGATTAAACAAATTTTGTTAAAATAATTGACTGGACTAATTCTTTGGGATTATTTCGCAGAAAGAGCAATGTCGACTGGAAGAATCAGGGCTTTAATGTACAAGCTAGTCCGAATTCGCCAGAGATGGTACCAGAATGCGACTCTCACTGGGCAACATCACCTCTTGTAGCGATGCCTCAGTTCACACATGGATCACATTCGGAAGCCTCTCATTCTTATTCTAACAAAAAGCGCCAGGTTAACGAAGCAACACAGCAACAACAACAACAGCTGGACGAAGCACAACTTGTACAAATAGCCACAGACGCATTCGTTCATGAACTTGGTATAGAGGATGAGGACATGCTTAAAGACAAAGTGCAGATCAGGGAAGTGCCGGCTGGTACTCATCTGATGAAAGAAGAATCTCATAAGGTTTGCTATTTTACATTTATCAAATACAAGCTATATATTGCATATAAAAGGAAACGATTTTTTAATAAAGATATTGTAAAAATATTATCAAAATTTAATTGTGATACAGGATGTTGCACTTGTATATGTGCTTTCGGGTTCGCTAATAGTAAGCCAACGCGTATCGGAGGGTCGAGACGCGGGCCAGGAAGTGCACATGTTTAGTGCTCATCAGGGCGAAATTGTTGGTGGTTTAGCAGTGTTAACTGGCGAACCATCTTTTTATACAATCAGAGCAAAACATGCCAGCCGTATCGCGTTACTTAGCAAATCTACATTCTTCGCTGTCATGCGAGATCAACCTACAGTCGTGCTGCACGTGGCACATACCGTTGTTCGCAGATTAAGTCCTTTCGTAAGACAGGTAAGAATTTGCAATAAAGAAACTCCTATTAAAAGAAAGAATTTTTAATGAATATATTATTGTTTCTTGGATAGGTGGATTTCGCTCTCGATTGGTTGTTCCTTGAAAGTGGACGAGCCGTTTATAGACAAGGAGATGAATCAGACTCGACATTCATTGTGTTAAGTGGACGATTGCGATCAGTAATCACTTACAAAAACGGTAAAAAAGAACCGGTAGCAGAATACGGAAAAGGTGACTTAGTGGGAATCGTAGAAATGGTAACGCAAACTCCAAGATCGACGACGGTTATGGCGGTCCGAGATTCTGAGCTGGCAAAATTACCAGAAGGTTTATTCAATGTGATCAAACTTAGATATCCAATTGTTGTCACGAGATTAATAAATCTTCTCGGTCATCGCATACTCGGCACTTGGCAGCAAGCACACACAAAAAACAGCAGCAATGATACTCAGTAAATATAATATATTATTGTATATAATGTAAATACGCACTCATATCATTATTGTTACATATAATTCAATATTTTATATCAAATGTTATTAATATAAATCAATTTTAAATTAAAAAAATATTTACAGACGAGCCGCAGCAACGGTTGATGCTAGACCCGCACAAGTAAATTTTTCAACTGTTGCCATAGTGCCGGTGTCGGATGATGTACCACTAACTGCTTTTACTTACGAATTATATCATTCTTTATGTGCCATTGGACCTTGCCTTCGTCTAACATCGGATGTCGTAAGAAAGGTATTACATATACAGGAATCCCATATTTATCTTGTTACAATCTAATACCGATTGTGTATTTAAGTATAGCATATAATTTAATTGTTTATATATGTATTATTTACATATTCTTTATTTATATATTTGTTTCTCAATAAAAAGAAATAATTAAATATTAATTTTTCGGAAACAATTAGTCTTATTAATCGTCAGT